CTCAATAAGGTAATATAATTTAAATATTTTACGTCGATATTATATTTTTAAATTCAGTAAATTTGACTACAACTTTCTAAATCATTTTATATCACTTGCTTTATTATAATTACTTGACAACCAGCAATTTATGATTGGTCAATCTGAATTGGCACAGTGGCCCAATTAGGATTAATGATTTTAATAAAACAATTTTCAATGACATTTATTTAAAATGGCTTGGACTTCACTTCTAGCTTGTTCATTAATTCTATTGTTATCAGTCAGAAGTGCATTTAGTTATTATGTATTAGTTGATGCTCATGGCGAAGAATGTTTTTTTGAAAAATTAACATCGGGAACTAAATTATTACTTACATACGAAGTTATCGAAGGTGGTTTCCTCGATATAGATGTCAAAGTAAAACTAAACTATTTCTAAATCAAAAGGTTGATTCATTTTTCCTCTGTAGATAAGTGGTCCTGATGTAAAAGAAATTTATCGGGGTGACCGTGAATCGAGTGGAAAAACAACATTTTCTGCTCATATGGATGGTAGTTATACAATCTGTTTCAGTAATAGAATGTCAACAATGACACCAAAAATGGTTATGTTCGAAATTGATGCTGGCGATTCACCAAAACTTGATATGGCAGCCGAGAAAGCAGGAGACAATGTTACACGTAAATAATTTTTTTTATTATGAAAAATGGCTCGTTTAATTGAACTCACGTTTTTATGTGTTTAGTTCATCATAATAAACTCGAAGAACTTGTTGCCGAATTATCTGCATCATTAAATAATATAAAACACGAACAAGAATTTATGGAAGTACGAGAACGTATTCACCGCTCTAGTAAGTTGTTTCTATTTTATTTTATTCTTAAAAATTATATATTCATTTTCCCTAGTTAATGAAAATACGAATTCACGTGTTGTAATGTGGTCATGTTTTGAAGCTTTTATTTTATTAGCTATGGCTTTTGGTCAAGTTTACTATCTAAAACGATTCTTCGAAGTTCGTAGAGTTGTGTAGAACTGCAAGAAACATTTTTATCAATAATTTTCTGAGTGTATCTCTTTTTTTTTCTTCATTATTTTGTTACTCAAAAATAAAATAATCTATTCCGCTGTTTTATTTATTTCATTAAAAGATAAAATTTAACATCGAGTTTTTATTCAATAGAAGCCAAAGAACTTCTAGTGGCTGCTGAAAAATTCGTAAAACTATCTACGATTTGACGATGAGTTTAAATTTATTAACAAATTATTTGATTAGATTAATGCGGACGTTTTAGTTTAAATAAATGTGCAAGTTTTTTAAATGCTTCATGTGAACGATGTTTGCTTGAATTCTTATCACCGATTGCCGTTGGACTCGTTCCTAAACTACTTGAATCAATTTTATTTTTACGATCTTGACGACTTTTTCTTAATTCATTTGGCATTAAATTCTTCGCCTTTTCCATAATCGTAATAAAGACCTGCTTTATTTCTACAATATCGATACGATCCTCGATGGTTTGTTCGAGTGTTTCATCATAAATTTTTGAATATTCTAATTTAATCTCACATAAATCTTTATTTTGATGGCCAATGATAATTCTTATCAATGTTCTATAATCAACCGGCACATCGTAGAATGCTTGCCGGAGTATTTTCGAATAGTAACCACTGGGCGATCGCGTATATTCAACCATGTCTTGAAAACAATAAGTCGCAACTTGATCTTTGAATTCATATCCAATGGCTTCGTTTATTGATCGTCCATATTTGTCTTCATAGGTATCGAATATAGATGATAATTGTGGAAACCCATCATGAGTAAATATTTGTATTAAACTATCATAATCAATATCAGATGTACCTTCGCGAGCTTCATGCAGTTGTCTAGCAATTATTTTTGCCGTTGCCATTGAATGAGCAGGTACTTCATAACGTTTCCCATCGAGTAACGCAATAAATAATCTTGATATAATACTTTTCGCACCATGTGCTTCCTTGATATCATTGTCCACCGAAGTTTTGAGTAAATGTTCATAGATTTCTTTAAATTTTTGTGTGTCATTATTATTCAATCCTAATAGAGTTTCTAATAATTTTCTTGTAATATCATTACTGTTACTATCAGTTCGTGCTACTAGAAGTAAGTCATGAAAATCGCGTACATACAACTCGATGGATTCTACGAGCAAGGCTAATGTACATAAACGTATAGGAGATTCAGGCTGTAAAAGTACCAAATCAATAAGTTTGTAACTATATTCATATTCAAGACCATGAATAAGTATCAAGCGTTGTTCGCAATTATAAGATGATAAAAATTCGAGAATAACTTCTAAATCTAATCTTCTGTCAATACTTGAGTTTTTCAATATTTTCGAAAGATGCTTTGTATCGCGTCTAAAATCGAATTCGACTGGATTACTCAATGAAGAAATATTGAGTTTTTGCTAGAAAAAACATTAACATCATGTAAAAAGTCTCAAAAACAAAATTTTTCAATACTTACTAACAAATGTTTTTCTTTTTTATTCAAATTACTATCAAACGTTTTCTTCATTGTTGCCCGTCTATATATTTCAGTAGAGGTAGCTCATTGAAATCTATAATAAAAATATATTGAATTAGCTTTTAACTTCAATTATGTTATTTATTCATCAAGTACATAATGCAAAATAGAAAAAAAAGTACGAAAAGGGAACAAACAAAATTTTCAAACTAGTCATGCTTGGCCAATTTTATATTTACTGTAAAAAACACGTGTCTGCAAGTCTACAGAGATTTTTTTCGTATTTTTTCTTGTGAGCCGAATCTGTAATTATATATTTTCTTCATCTTATATTTATAATACGTAAAAGCAAGGCCAAGGCAAATAATCAAAACAATAAAATAATATTTTCGAAAAAATATTCAATGAGTATATCGCTTATGATTTATGCAATTTAATTTTCTTATTTACGATGAATAATTTATCCTTGTTTATAAATATCATTCATCTATATTTAATTTCATAGTATAAAAAATAAAACATTATCAAAGGATACTGATGCTAGGTTGAATGTGTCTATGATTCGGTATATGTGAGAGTAATCGGGAAAAAGAGCAGAACATTTTGTGTTATAATTTTACAATGTGACATATGCCTGGTTGACAACAACAAGAAGATGCCATGCATTAGAAAAGGCCAAATGCTAGCTTTAATCTACACATTACAGGAAACTGTCAAAACCAATATAAAAAGACTAGACGATTTTTTTTTGTCTTTGAAAAAATTCTATGTTGTTTTGCCATAAAACTAACTTGCTGCCAAACTTAATATCATTCGGAAAAAAGAATACATTTAGTTGCTGTGAATTTACTCTGTGTTCGATATATCGTCTTTAAAAAAATTTCCATTGAAATCTTGATTTTTGATGGAATAAGAAATCGGCTTGTCCAAACGTAATGCTGTGACATTTTGACAAATCGTTTTGCAATTATCTCGAAAGGCACAGGAGCTAATAAGATCGTTCAAACGTCATTCGACGCAGCTTCTGATACTCTATTCATGTTGACAGAATAACCTAGTTTGACTGAATTCTTGCGCTTCTAAAAAGGTTTTATCATCGCATAACATTGTGACAAAAAAGGATCCTTTTTTCTAGGGTTGCTTAGAGAGCTCTAATTTTTTGACAAATCATTTCTTCAAATGAAATGCTTATGACACCAGTTTTGTAGAGAATTGAATGGGCTTTCAAGCAGTAAAAAATATTTTTTCTAAACTATTTTCGCTCAGATTAAAAGTGCAAAAAACAAACGTAACGCTGCGACACGTGTTTTAGTCGATCAAATTTGAAGCACTTAACATGCTTAAAAATATTTAATGTTTATATATATTGATCACTGTCCTGTATATATCCTACTGTAAAAAAATCAAGTTGCTACATCGAAATACGAGCTCAATAATTGTATAGTAAGTTAGAAACTGTACAAGAGCTTAGAAGTTGTCCTGAAGAATGAGAGTAAAACATTAATAGGCAATTTTGTAGAGAATCAAATTCTGCATCGAATTGTATACTACTCTGCATTTTTGTTTTAAAGTTTTTGGTTAGAAAATTGAAAATACAGTTTTTAAAACCCAGTTTTTTTTAACTTGATCAGCGCAGCAGCGCGTTACGCGGACAAGCCGAAATACAAATTACTAGAGATGCATGAGCTTTAGATTCGATTTAATTATTCTTTTGAATGATTCACTTTTGATAAATCTAGCCATCATGATTGAATTGAAGAGAGGTTTTTCTGGAGAAAAAATCGATTCGTTTCAAGCTGCTATGAATAATTTAACTGAAGTTAAAGTCTTATTTACCTTCCTTTTTAATTTTTTTTTCTCAAAGAAGCTCGCCATTTTCTCATCATCTGAAAGCATACAAAAAAAATGAGACATAGTATGAGAGAAATCACTTTCAACGATGATATTTAACACCATCAATCAGTTAAATTCGATCCAACATCAGAAGACGTAATGCAATCAAAATCATTATCAATGAAAACTGTAAATTTATTATTTCCTGAATTAAACGAATCGTCGAAACATCATCATAGACTCGAACATGATCTTGATCGTCAACCAACATTTTGTATTCGCCGTCATCGTGCTATACTCGAAAGTCTACTGCCTTCTCAGCAACCGTCAGATATTGATGAGGTTCTTGGAAACCATTTAGAATTAAACTCTTTAGCTCGCGCTACCTATGGAACTAAATCATCTCGAGGAGTTTCATTCCATCCGAAACCCTTGAACTTTAAGAAATCCATTCCTGAAGTGACAATCAAACATAGTATAACAAGTCAAAAATTATCACATCCTCTTCAAATACCAATATGGACGCCGCCGTTACCAGAAAACGAAGAAATCTCAACTAAAATATCACGTTCAAGAGCTCATACATTAAAACATTCTCATAAATCTGATCATCAATTAAAAAGACGAAAATCTAATTTAGATACAAAACAAAATTCTATCTCAGAACTAAGTACATCGACAAACGAAGATTTAGTACCGTTGAGAGTAACAACTGTTAAAGATCTATTCGATGAATGTAAGTTTTTGAGAATATTTCTTGTTTATTCTGAAAAATAATTTAATTGTCTAGGGGAAAATCTTGAATCAAACGTGACAAATCAATCAGACGGTGATGAATCGCTCGTCGTACATTGTGATAGTCCATCGTTAACATCAACTCCTCAAAATAAAACTCAACACTCAGATATTTTTACATTTTCAACTTCAATATCGAATCAAGAACTCTTGTCTCTTATATTATCGAATGATAATCCCGAACCCAATCGAGCAAAGGCAACGAACTCACGAATGCATTCATATAATAATCTTTTACCACCAGTCTTTGAAGATATCAATAATGAAGAAGCATTCAATGATATCTGTTAATCCATTATCTTCTTTTTTTCCTCTTTTATCTTAAACCTAATATCCGTTTAAGGTTTATTTATAAGCAAATAAAATTTTCTATGTTACCTTCTGCAAACAAACTTTCATAGAGTTAGAAAATGCAAAAGAAAATTGCGCTATCGAATAATCTACATCATTAAAATTTTTATTTTTCATCACATGATCATTTCTATCTCACACAACAACATTCGACCTTAATTAAAGAATTCCCACAAATTCGCAGTTTTTTTTCTTTCGGTCGACAAATAATGAATCATGCCATCATCTGTTCCGACATTGCTCATTTCGATTGTTGTTATCCACATGCCTTTTAAAATGCACCTAAAACAATTTTTATTTGAAGCAGAAAAGATACAGGTTGTAGATTTGAAAATTTCGTCCATATCACTGACTGCAAAGAAGTGGAGGAGTTGAATCTCACCAATTATTGATGTTCAGGGTGAGACGAACCGCTCCACTTAGTCAAGTCTAGTTTACCGTAAAAGAGAGAGAGAGAGAGAGAGAGAGAGAAATAACAACGAAAAAAACACAAGGAGAAAGAAGAAAAAAACGCAACAAATGGATTTTTTTCTCACAGTCGATAGCGTCTTTTCGAATTCAAACGCTACAAACGAATGTCGAAAAAAAGAAAAAACCTTCTCTTTTCTCCCTGAACTTTACAACTGTTGATAATCTCTATGTGACAAATTTAGACTCGACATAGTAAAACGTTGTAGAGAAATTCAATCTGAATTGAATTCACTCGATGTTTTCTTTTTTTTCTCTCTCTATCATTAAGAAAAGAAAAGAATATCAACAGAAAAGAAAAGTATTAAAAACTAATTGAATTTAAATTGTGTTTGATTCTAGGCTTAAGTATAGGTCATCATCAAATATAATAAGACTTACGAGAGACTAATGGCGATTATAGACTCATTGATATGAGCTGGAAGAATATAGATCTGGCATTTTCAAAAAATAGCTATGCGAAATCCATCTTCCAGCTCACATACAATCAAGTTAACAATACTGACGATTTAAAATTGTTGCTCATTTTATATACGAGATGATAAGAGAGAGAGAGAGAGAGAAGGTAAAAGGTAAACACTGTTATCCGTTTGTTCTCTTGATGTTGACATATCTGTAACAAGCAGAAGAAGAAGAAGAAGAAGAAGAGAAAAACGTTGACGACAAATTGTCTTATCCGAGATAAACTAACACTTCAAGTGCGTAGATGCGCTTACCTACCAACGGTTACCTTTCTTTCGAATAAGAAGAATGAATAGATAATAATGACGAAAAACGTAATAATCAACTATCTTACAAGAAGAAGAAGAAGAAAAGAATGATTTTGATTCGATAGTTTATTTCGTCTTAATAAACGTAGATATTCTATTGAAAGAATTATATTTTGTTCTAAGATGTAAACTTTAGACTTTGCAAGCTGGTAAATCATTAGTAATAATCAGTTCTTTTTTCTTCGTCTTCTTCATTTTCAAGTACTCTAACTTCTGATATCTACCGTTTGTTAAATAAATATACACAACACTTGTCTTTGGTGTATATCAACATCAAAAAGTAGATGATGATAATTGAAAACGTTGACTCTATCTATGATTTGTTTAGAGATGAACTGATTAAGATATTCAAGTTTAGAGTAAATCATATAAATCGGAAAGCAAAATCTCAATAGTGTTTCATTGCATAGATCAATCAACGACGAAGTCGTTACCATTTCTGTTGTGAAAATGCGTATACGATTGAATTTTTCGTTATCATGATAGTAATGCATATGTACCTTCTCTTATTTTTCTTAATGTTTTTCAAAGCAAAATATGAAATCATATCACAAAATAATTATCAGTAGTATCAAAGATGCAAAAAATTCCCACTTTACCTTAAGTCTTCTGGCAATATGTGGAACTTTTCATATCGAATGAAATTTGTATTATATTAGTAGTAGTAAAAGGAAAAGCTCATGAAATTTTCTACTTTATGACAGACTTGATAATTTTTCTTTTTCTTGTTTAGCTTTATTGACATTAATAAAACAGCGAGCGATTCACATAGATTTATATGAAATGGAAAAAGTCTATTAGCTAAGTTTTACGAATAGACTTGGCTTTCGTTCTCATTTGTATTATTTACGATGTCAGCATGTATTTAGGCATTGCCTGTTAGATTCAACAACAGATTTGCTTTTAAAATTTATAGATACTGTTACAGTCATATGTTTATTCCTTGACTCATCGACGTTTGTATACTCATTCCCTGACACATATCCGCACTATATATACTCCTCTTTCTTCAATAATAAAGTAGTTCCATCATTATGGTACTCATTCGTTATTAACATCAAGAAGGCACAGGGATCCTAACATTTTGGTGCCGTGACCCTCTTTCTTGATGTTGTATTCTCAAAGCAAGTGAATCCTTATATTCATTTGTCATTACCATCGTCGCAATTGTTTATTAACGTCAATAATCAACGAAACTGTTTTAGTATACGATATCTCTAATTCATTGGGAACACTCACATCCTCACTCGGACATTTGGCATTCGGTATCAAATCGGCATTCGTTCTATGACTCAATCGAAACAAAAACGCAGGAAACAACTTATGAAAAATATTTTCAAAGTTGCTTTCGTCTTGTCGTATAAATCTTCAATTATCTAAAATGGCAGATTTTTTTATCGACAATCTTGGTTTTCAATATACCAATTTTCTCGGTTGTATTTTTGTTCTTTCATCTCTCAAAAACTTTCGTCGTGTGTATTGCATCTAAAACTATTGTCGATAACGTTTTATACTTCGAAATAGTTTATAGAGATGAGTCCGCATCTTCATCGCATTGATTCTTCTTTTTGTCTTTTATTTTTCATAGTATCGCTATACTATTGTTTCTTATGCTCTTTTGTTCTTGTTCCACTTCGTATCAACATTCTCAATTATTTCAATTTTTTTCTTCATTCTTTTTTGTATCTGTTACTGTGTGTGGACCCACATTTCTGTCGGTGAGGAGGAATGTTACAGTCATATGTTTATTCCTTGACTCATCGACGTTTGTATACTCATTCCCTGACACATATCCGCACTATATATACTCCTCTTTCTTCAATAATAAAGTAGTTCCATCGTTATGGTACTCATTCGTTATTAACATCAAGAAGACACAGGGATCTCTAATAGATAGCTCTCTCTGTTGAATAATTACGTTCAGTGTAATAGGAGATGTGTCATTGAGCGACACCTATAGGGTCCGATATATATTAAAAGTTCCAACCGCTTCTACTATTATTATATTTTATAAACATATTATCGAGAAACTATCGAGAACAATTAACATTCAATAAATAGATTCATCGCATCAGACGGAGAGGAGATAATAATTAATGGACTTTATCCATCTATTCTTTCATGGAGCTATTTATTTTTTGCAAGGATGCTGAAGATCGATGAATGCTAGACATTATTCCATTAGTCTTTACAAAAATTCATTCATCAATTATACTTTTTTTCTCTTTTTATTTATAGATCACTACCAGTCGCTACTGTCAGTATGTCGGACACCGAGATGGACGAGACCCCACGCGGCTCGGATGAAGTCGACTTGAATAAGTCGTTACAAGAAGTCCTTAAATCAGCCGCACGTAATGATGGTTTAGCACGAGGTTTACGCGGTAAGAAATTTGTTTAGTTTTCTTTTTTAAACAAGTCTTTCAATATCGTTTCATATAGAATCGGTCAAATCATTAGATCGACGTGAAGCGCATCTTTGCGTCTTAGCATCCAACTGTGATGAACCGAACTACGTTAAATTAATTGAAGCCTTATGTGCTGAACATAGCATCAATTTATTACGTGTTGATGACAATAAAAAATTAGGTGAATGGGCTGGTTTATGCAAATTAGATAAAGACGGCAAAGCACGCAAGGTAGTTCGATGTAGTTGTTGTGTTGTCCGTGATTTTGGTGAAGAAACACAAGCTCACGATCAATTATTGGAACATATGAAAAAAGCCAAACAATCAGCATAAGAAAAAAAAGAGATCGCAAATATTCATGCTTTTTGTTTTTGTTTTCCGATTAATTGAAAATAAAATACATTAATAAAATAAGAAGACAAAAAAGACTCGTACAGACGAAAGAAACTTGATATGTAGAATTTGTTTTTTTGCTCATAATAACAGTGAGAGGTAACTTCTAATCTAAGAAAAATCATGCTGCCTATTTCCAGATATTAGCTATTTTGTTTTGTTGTAAATGGCTTCTATTCTCAAGTTGCAAGTCATTACCGGTGCATATAATGAAGGAGCTTTGGCTTATCTTTTACAAACAGACGATTTTCGATTTTTACTTGATTGTGGTTGGGATGAAAATTTTTCTCCAGAAATCATCGAAGAATATAAACGGTAGGTATATGATTTTTCATATTCGGGGTTCTGATGGACATGTATAACTAAAAATATACGAAAGATTCAGAAATTAAATCATCCTATTTCGAAAATTCTCTCTTTTGTATTATTAATTATAAATTTTTCAATATTATATTTTTAGTCATATTAAATCAATTGATGCTGTATTAATTACGTATCCCGATATCTATCATCTTGGTGCATTGCCTTATCTTGTTGGACACTGCGGTTTGAAATGTCCAGTTTATGCAACAATTCCAGTCTACAAAATGGGTCAAATGTTCATGTATGATCTACATCAAAGTCGTTCGAATAGTGAAGATTTTACATTATTTACACTTGATCACGTTGATGCTGCATTCGATCTTTTTGTTCAAATGAAATATGATCAATCAATTCAACTTGAAGGTTTACTAAAACTAAAATCACTTCATTTTTCTTTACTGTTGTTTTGCTTTGCCTATTTTGAAGGAAACGGACAAGGTTTAACGATAACACCGTTACCAGCTGGCCATATGATTGGTGGAGCTATATGGAAAATTTCGAAAGAAGGCGAAGAAGAAATTGTCTATGCAGTTGATTATAATCATAAAAAAGAACGGTAGAAATATTAAATAATTTTGGTTTTTTGTGATCGAAGACTTCTTTTCGTTTTTTCAGACATTTGAATAGTTCAAATCTGACGAAAATTATTCGACCTACATTGCTAATTACAGATGCCTTGAATACAAAATATTCTCAAGGACAACGAAAAACAAAAGATGCTCAATTGTTGAGTATGAATAACCTTTTTTTTTCTATTGACACTCACAATATTCTATTTTCTCTTAAAGCAACTATTTTGGAAACAATGCGACGCGATGGAAATGTTTTAATTTGTGTTGATACGGCCGGTCGTGTTCTTGAATTAGCTCTTCTCTTAGTGAGAATTTTCTTTGAAAAAAATCGTTCACTCTTATTTTCATTTTTCATAGGAACAATTATGGCGAAATGAGCAATCTGGTTTATTCGCGTATTCATTAGCTCTATTGAATAATTTTAGCTATCAAGTAATCGAATTTGCACGCTCACAAGTCGAATGGATGTCAGAAAAAATAGTTCGACAATTTGAAGAAAATCGTGCTAATCCATTTCATTTACGATATGTTAAATTGTGTCATGACCTTAGTGAATTGGACAAAATTCGTGCACCAAAAGTAGTTATAACACGAATAACATCCGTTTATTGAAATTTTAGAGAAAAAATTATTTTCCTCTCTAGGTTGTATTAGCTAGTCAACCTGATTTAGAATCTGGTTTTGCTCGAGATTTATTTATTCAATGGGTTGAAAACGATAAAAATAGTATTATATTAACAACACGAACATGCCCAGGAACATTAGCAAGAGAACTAATTGATAAACCAAATCTGACATCGATCGAAGTTGAAGTAAATATCAAGAAATTGAAAGATCAAAAAAAAAACTTTTTTTTGTTTTGTTTATTAAAAGGTACGTCGTAAAGTTCCACTCGAAGGTGCTGAATTAGAAGAATATATGGAACGACAGCGAGTTCTCAACGAAGAAAATGCTGCCAAAGCTCAAGCAGAAAAGAAAAAAGCTCGTAAATTATCTAAACGTTCGGTTGATGACGAAATACGAATTGAGGTTGATGTTGCTGCTGATGATTTTGCAGAAGAAGAAGATGACGACGACGATGACGATGATGAAAATCAAGCGAATAATAAATCAAAGTCATCCGTAGCTGATACTATAATCGATACTGGTCTTCCTGATGATGTTAAAGCAAGTCCATTACTTACGCCATCGGCAAATCGTCTTGCAACTCTATCTCCATTTGCGCCAAAACGTAAAGGATTCGCTATGTTTCCATATAAAGAAGAAAAATATGCTTGCGATGATTATGGCGAAATCATTAATCCAAATGACTACATGATTATTGAAACCAAACCATCAGTAGCAAGTGATTTTTCACCGATGAATTTCGGCGATTCCGATGAACGACATCCATCAAGTGAATTAATGGATATAACAAATAGCACGAATTTAGCACCAGATATGATGGCAATGATGATTCAACAGGCATCAGGCGTTCTACCAAATAATCCATCGCAACATCCATTAATTCAACAAGTTCAACATCAACCATCTTCGATACCCTACAAAACTATACGTGATAAGCGCGAATTAAAAATAAATGCTAAAGTCATATATGTAGATTTTGAAGCACGCAGTGATCGAGAGTCAATTGAAAAATTACTAAATCAAATTAAACCAAAAAATTTAATATTCATTCATGGTACACAAGATTGTATTGAACAATTAGAAAAGTATTGCACAGTAAAACAAATTGTCCAAGGAAGAATATTTTCACCGAGAGTCGGAGAAATCGTTGATGCAACAACCGAAAGAAATCTTTATCAGGTAATGAAATTGATCGAATTCATTTTGAGATACCGCACAGATCGTAGGGTTCTAAACATGATTAGATGCAAATTAGAGATTCGCGGATGTCTAAAGGTTATTATTTTCGAACAATACATTTCTGTCATCTTTCATTTAGATTAAACTCAAAGATAGTTTACTTAGTTCTATTACATTTTCAAAAACACGTGATGTTGATGTTGCTTGGGTCGATGGTGTTATCAGTCATGGTGGGCCACCACCTGCAACGCCACTTGGAACAACAACATTTACCAGTACATTTTCTTTTCTTTTGTCTCATAAAAAAACATTTTTTCTATTTTATTTTTTTAGCTGTTGGTCAAGCTAATACGGAATGGTATTTAAATCCTGTATCACGTGAAGTTAAAGATCAGGTAGATAGGTGTTGAATTAATTCTATAATGTTTGTTTTTGTTTTTGTTCGTTAAAATATAGATGCCACCTCATCCGTGTGTATTTGTGAATGAACCAAAGTTACTCAATCTTAAAATGATTCTTATTCAACAGCATGGGCTTAAAGCTGAATTTGTCGGCGGAGTTCTAACTTGTGAAGATACAGTGGCTATTAAACGAGTAAGAAATGATTAGCTTTCGCTTTCATTTCTTTTTGTTTTGTTTATTTTAGAATGAAACAGGTAAAATAATTCTCGAAGGTGCTCTATCCGATACGTATTACAAAGTTCGACGAATCTTATATGATCAATATGCGATATTGTAAAAATTGTCTGTGTATAAATATACATTGTTATATGTTTAAATGTGTTATTTTGATTTTTTCTTTGTTTCCAAATAAATATACTTGACGTTGAAAAACAAGAAAAACCAATAAATTTTCATTTACGGAAACAAGCAGAATATAAAAAAAAGAGAGGAAAGTGAAAGAAGACTAAATCTATTGTTGCATGGGAATAATAGGAACGTTCTGACGAATTTCTTCTAATATACTACCGGCACCCATTTGCATTAATTTAACAGCTAGATTTGTACCACATAATTCGGCATTTTCTAATATTGTTTCATTTATATTGACACAACATACATGTGCAAAATGACGCAGCAAAGGCGACGTTTCTACTGTTGTCGGTGGCGAAGATATAGACGCAGTTGTTTTAGGCTGTGGAAGAAGTGTATCATCGCCATTTGAATCCGCACGTTTTCGTTTTAGGTTGATCCCATGTGGTTGCGTATCATCGTCAGCTAATAATAGATCATCGTCTGTTTGTGAAACAAGAAAACTTGGAATCGGTGTTGTCATTGAAACAGTTAAATTAGAATTTTCAATTTGATCTTTGACATAACGAGATCCATCAAGATTGAGTAGAATACCGTTGACTGTCAAACCGGTTCCATTGTATTCCGTATGAACAGCATTTGGAATACTGCAACCGCCTTCAACTATAAAAATAAAAAATAAACATTTTAAAATTAATTGTCCTAATCGAAATTGTTGCAAGTCATTTTTCATTCATGACATGTATCTAAGCGACAGAAAAGAAAACAGACAACACGAATATTTTATGATTTGCAAAAAGTTAAGAAAGAAAAAGCGAAAACTACAATTATAATTACTTCTCCTCAAAAAGGCTCGTTCAGCAACACAACAAACAACGGTTGGTTCATGATTGAGTACTGATAGCATTCGAATAGTATCATTGTCATCATGTCGACATTCAATTCCAAGAGCACCTTGTCCAATAGCATAGAGAACACGGTCCGGTTCAATTATTTCGCTGATACGATCCGCCCAGTTGAGCCGTTGAAAACCAGCAACGGCTGCAATCATAGCATCATAACCAAGTTCTGGATTAGACAATTTTTCCCAACGTGTATTCATGTTTCCGCGTATATTTTTGAATGTAAGTTTAGGATAACTTAATTTAAGTTGTGCAATACGACGTGTTGAACTTGTTCCAATAGCACTACCGGCAGGTAATTCATGTAGAGACTTTTCCTGACGCCATGGTGCTATGATAACAGCATCACGAGGATCAGCACGTTCAAGAATAGCACCAATGACCATATTCGGTGGTAAAGTAGTTGATGGCACATCTTTAAGTGAGTGAATAACAAAATCAATATTTTTTTGGTCGAGTTCAATTTCAAGTTCTTTGGTAAATAAACCTTTATCACCAATATTAGCCAATGGCGTCAAGAGATTTTTATCGCCGATTGTTTTTATTTTAATTACTTCATATTCAACATGTGGATAGAATTTTTTAAGTTGACCAATCACACTATGATAAAAAAAAAGAATAGGCGAATAAAATCGAATCGAATAATTTACCTTTCTGTTTGAATAAGTGCTAATTCACTTTGGCGAGTACCAACTTTGTAATTCGATCTCGATGGTATATATTGCATGATTGAATTAATTTTTATGAATTAGACAATTCAAACTTTCTATCTGAGGAATAAAAAAAAGGAGTCTAAATTTTTGAGATAAAATTATGCTTCTTTTTCTTTTTCAATAAAGAAAAATTCCATATAGCTAAGAAATTGTTCCTGTCGGTACGATGGCTGTTAAGATTTCAAATAATTTTCTGCAGTCGTTCGTACTTACAGTATGCTTGTTCTTGTTTATCTTTAAGGGGGTGTGATTGAAATACTATCATCGAGGTTTAGAAGCTAGTATTTTTTTTCCTTCTCATTCTCAATTAAATCTTATTTTCAAAGACGCATAGGTTAAGAATATCTATAGTCATAGAAATAAAAAGTATATTTTGTACTTTCTCGCTTTGTTCTTTGATTTATCATATATAGAAAGAGGAAAATATTGTATTTATTCAAACATATTTGAGTCATAAAGTAACTCTAATCTATGAATAATTTCATGACATTAATCGTATTCATAGTATTGAGTAGTGAAGAAAAAAAATTTTATTCACCTGAAATTTACACTTATGACATTGACAATGAACTATGTAGAGGGGATTTCTAAAAGACATTCTCAGTCTACATTACGATACACTACTACAATAGAAGCAATTCTTTATATGCTAAGGGTTTTTCACCAATAGGCATATCAAGACAGACAATGGAGTGCCCTCGATAATAATTGTTAAGGATGCCGCCACTTACAAGGATGTAATTTCTTTTATAGAACGTTGTTCTATTGAATTTGATTTCGTAATCAATTTTTTTTTATTTTTCAGATTTTTAATGCAATTTCAAAAACTCATACTAACGAAGAAGAAGTGTTAAAATAGAAAGAGTAAAATATTACACATGAGTACTAACCAGGGTGACTAGATCTTCTAAAAAATAGAGAAAAATTCTGATTTTTTCTGGATTTGGAACATATTGAGATCGCTGCTGTGCCACTGAAATTAGGTACTATTGTAACCCATTACTATAATAAATCAATACTGTTTCATCAATTTTCTCTATTAATTAATCATCTTTTATACTCCTCGTTCGAATTCCAAAAGATACGAAATATGAATAACAATACCGAGATGATGGGATTTAACGTTTTTTTCTCGTTCGACTTCTTAATCTACGCAGAATGTATGTGATTTAGTTTTGCTCGTTTTTGTGAACGAGTTTTAAATTTAAAACGAAGCTCAACATTAAGTATCTTTTATTAAATATCTTTGAAAGTAAAGTTCCAGTCAATAAACAGAAACGCACCAGAACTTTGGATGTCAGTATTTTAACGGAAGATGTACGAATTTGTCAAAAATTACCATTTTCTGATTAATTTCTGATTTTTGATCTGGCCACCCTGGCACTAACAGTACATACAAAAACGCAATGAAATCCTTGATAATCACATAATATGCAGGATGGTTACAGAGACTAACCTTTGAACTTTAACTTACATTTGATATTTTCAATTTCACATTTATTAATGTTAATATATAAAATTTTGTGACGGAAATTAGCATTGGTTGATCTCCATTGCAGCAGTGTCACATATCCAACATTTTGGAGATGCCACCACATCTTCCACGGGAGATGACGCATCTCGCGCGAGAGATGCGGGTGTGGGTGTGGGGGATGCGCATCTCTAAACGAGATCTTACATCTCCAGTGGTGAATGACCGCATCTCCCGAATGTGTATGTCGCGTCTCCCGCTGAAGACGCGGCATCTCCTGTGGGAGATGTGGTAGCATCTCCAAAATGTTGGATATGTGACACCACTCATTTTTACGAAACAACAAACTTGTGAACTTGAAAGATGTTTTCGACCACTGGTATTATTATTTAAAATTTTTAGAAGGTGAACGTGAATATTTAAGAAATTCAATGAATTTAACAGCACGCAAAGTCAAAATTTGGTTTCAAAATCGTAAGTTAATTGAATTTTTGAAAGTATCACTTCTAATTTCTTTTAGATCGATATCAAACGAAACATCCACGACTGGAAACAGGTACACTGAAATATTTTCCGTTGCCTAAACATACAATCTTATCAGTCTCTCGCCAAAACAATGAATCTTATCATCAACAATACTCAGTTCTTACATCACGAGCGACTTCATATCAATATATTCAATCATCATCAACTTGCAACAATAATAAAAGTCCCCTGTGTGATACTAGTTATTATTTTATTTTAAAAATCAATTTTGTCACAATAGACATTTCTTTAGAAGAAAATATTTTCATTCGTTAAATAAAGTTCAGGCAGTCCTTCATGTTCCATTTAAAAAACACTAGACAAAACGCAAAACAAAACAATTCAGAGGAAAATTATCTATTGCAAAACATTTCAACATAGAATCAATCGCCACAGATACATTATATCCGAAAATATATGCTAAAAGTTTGATATGTGAAATAATCTTCAACATGAATTGTATACAAATAAAATGAGAGGTTATTTGATCATTCCAATGGACGAATTTTTTATCTGATGAAAATCATCAACGTATTTGAAAAACTTCTTTTCTTTCATATTTTATGACTAAATTAGCAGAAAGAATGTATGGAGGCGTTGTATCCTATTTGCAACATGGCTTTTGAATTTACACGGCGAATACACTTTATGAGATGGTTCGTCTCACGCATCCAACAGAGTCAAATCTCATCAAAGAGACAAAAAGATAATGCTTATGAGGATGAATGAATATATTTAATTTATCGTCAATTAAATGCCTATTTTAAATCATATCAAAATCGGAATGATTTATAAAAAGCAAAGCCAACTCAACGTAGAGAGTCATCCCATTATTATTCAACAGAATATCGAATAAGTCCATCATAATTTGTGTTTTGACCGTATTTAACATAAACAGTAACATCTTTCGAACCAACTGTGATGTCTGTTTTCAGAATTGGATCTTCATATCCTTTTACTCCAACCAATTGAGAATCCACTTGTAACTTAACTTCAGTTGCACCAGGAATAACACAGTGAAAGGGTACAATAAGACCTTTCTTCAGTGTACCTTCAAGTGGTTCATAAATTCGACATTTAGTCGTCTGGAATTTTCCATATATTAAAGGAAATTTCATTGGCTTTCGAAGTCTGGTAACGTGAAGATCGAATTTCGCTACAGAATGGGAAGTCTCATTGGCACCAGATTGACGTCGACCATAAATCATAAGTTGATGCAAACCAGTACGTTGCGGCGCAAACAAAAGCTGCCATTGTTGTTTGTCATGATCAAACTGAGTTAATGCACAGTTTTCATTTTTAATACCATTGAACTCAATACCACACGAAAGGGCCACATCATTGGGTGCTGATATTCGAATTTCAGCGAATGATGCATTATCAGGCCATACAGCTGTAGCACGATTTCGAGGTGCTTCTATTTTAAGTCCCAGTTCATAGAAAAGAGGCCATGTATTCGGATAAGACATGGGAGGTGTCAAGATATTTTTTGCATCGATTTTAAACTTTACAGCAGATGTATATTCACCTTTGTCTGCTTTTCTCTTAGCGAAAATTTGAGCATCGAACATTCCATCACAATTAGGAGCAAATTTACATCGCCATAGACTTTTATGTCGATCATAGAATACCTGATGTCCACCTTCGACTTTTTCTTCACGAGTATTAGTCAATGATCCAAGTAGTTCTACATCATCCGGTGTTCGAATCAAAATTTCTGCATCAGTTTGTCTATTGTGTACTTTTATCAAATGTGTATCTTTCGGTGAAACTACTTCCATATTCAAGTCGAAAAAATTCTTCCATGTTTCTGGAAAGCTAATGGGATTTTTTGGCATTTCACTAACATCGAGAGTTAAATGAATTACGTCGTGATATTTACCCTCTGCGTCCTTCTTTTTTGCATAAATTGTAATTTTATGTTTGCCGATAGTATTTGGAGCAAAGTAACAACAATGCATTTGTTTCTTAGTATCAAACTCGACACGATCACCACCTTCAATTTTTTTATTGTTTAATTTCAAATTTGCAATTAGATCAACATCAGATGGTCCTTGTATGAGGACTAAAGCATATGCTTTTCCTGGCGCAAAATGAACATGACCTTGATTTCGTGGACTAATTAAATCTAATTTCAATTCAAAGTAATGGGGCTGAAGTTGTGGCATTTGTAAATATTGTTTCATTCTGATTGGTTTTTGTAATAGTTGCCATTTCTCAATTTCAGGTAAATGATGATATATCATCTCAGTTGGATTAGGTAGAAAATAATACGAGTCCAATTCACGTTGGAAGTTCTTTTCTTCCGTCAGATATCCAGCACCCCATGTGGATTCAATCAAGTACCAACGATGGTCGATTTCTACAGCATTCCATGCATGGTCTGTTTCGGTAGGTGCACCTTCGCGTTCATCGAATCCATAACCTTTCGAGTAGCCACTCACTTTCTCACATGGAATATTCAGTGCATCGCAGAGATATTTATAAATATTGCCGTAACCAGCACAAACGCCTTTTCTAGTTCGAAATACACCTTCAGCTGTTTGATCTGCATAATTTTTACTGAAGTACGAGACTGTATCATATTCAATGTTATATGTGATCCAATAGAAAATGATCCAATGGCAATCTACTATTGATTTACTTTCTGATAAAGATTTAATAGCATTAACTAATTGTTGGAGGGAGTTAGGACGCCATGATTGAATAGTAGAACGGTACGAATGATTATCAATGGCTTTCTGGCGTTGTTGTATAAACGATGTATTAAGTGCATATGGATCAGCAGCTTCAATGTCATTCACTAATTGTTCATGATGATCAGTGTTTTGAGCGTTTTTATCATTTATTGCAGGTAATCTTGTTGTCTTCGATCTTTCTCTTTCAGAATCAATTGACTCCCTTTTTGTTTCCTGATTCGTTTGATTAGCTTCGCGAATTTTAACCGGAATGGGTTCTGTGACTGGCGCAACGCGTGCACATGTGCAACCCATTCTTATTTTTTCACTAAGATAGAGAAAAAAAACTTATTCTGATTTCTTACTTGTGCTATTCCAAAGAAGAGAAGCAACAGTGATATGAAAAGTGTGTTTATGCGCGTTAGTCATTCTTGTCGTGTCCTTATCACTCATGTATGCACCTGTAAAAGCGATTTATCTCGTATTATGTTTATGTTTCGAATTTTCGGTCGTTGTAAGTTTTTCCATGTGAAGTAAGGGTGTTGCTTTATCTTTATTGATCTTTATATTAAAGAATAAAGATAAATGAAATCTTCATATTTATAAAATAAAGATAAAGATACTCTTTATTTGTAAAAATAAAGTTAAAATAAAGAATAAAGAAAGATTTTCTTCAGTCGTTGATAAATAGATAAATAATTTGTATAACAACAGAAAACATTGATTGCAGTTCTTGCTCATCACCACTGACATTGCAGTATGAAATAATACTAGCAAATGATGGTGAGGCATAAATCATTCATGGAAAAAAATCTAGTGTTCAAAATTTTTTTAGCCTTGAACTTCTTAGTTTTCGTCGAGCTACCCGAAAAAGACCAAATTATGGGTTTTTAAGGAAAAATATTTTTCTTTGTTCTTTATTTTATCGTTATTAAATCAATTAATCACCTTCAGAAATGTATTCCTTTACAATAATAGCACTCTCTTTTATTACTAAAACTTCTGTTTTTTTCAAAAAATGACAGAAATGTTAATTTACAATTCATTTTTTTTAAACTAAAATTACCCAAAACTTAAAATTAAATTCTAACTAAAATTCTACGAAGTTAATTTTATAATAAATTTAATTTTTTTGAATTAAAATGTAATTAAAATATAGTCTTACATGTAAAAAATTATTTCTCGTCTTAATAATTTTTTTTAAAATAAAAATGTGTTACCTGTCAAAAATGATATCAAAAGAAGACTATTGACTTATAGAATTTATTTGGATTATTTATTTTTAATGTTCGTAGTATCGAAAACCTAAAAATTCATTTCAAAAATTTCCAAAACCACTTCATCTAATAGTCGAGTAACTTTGCAAATCACAGAAAATTATCCTAGAAATTACTGAATGAATTATGCAGCTCAAGAGGGAGCACATTTTTCTTTCATTTCTTCTTAGCTTTTCTTAGCTCCAGATTTCATCAGAAATCGTCTCCTTAAAAGACTTGAGTTGACTTTCATTTGATACCAGACTATTTACAATGGCACAGAAGAATTTTACAGAACTAAATAATTTTTTCTTCAAAACGAATCTATTATCCATCATATCGATCTAGTTGTTATTCCATAGAGTGTAGATTTACGTGATTAATTGAATAACATATTGAACAAAATCACTCAATTCAATTAATGTACTCTCTCCTTTATATACAACTAACTTATCGCAACGAATTTTTATTGCGACGAATTGTCTTGCGATGAACTGTCGTGCGACGATATGTACTAGTGCCATTCAACAATTCATTTCATCAACAACCAGCAACTTTTTACTATCACTAAGAATGATACGTGATACCAGTCAAGCAAACTGTCTGCTGTCAGCTCTGAGCACCAATTACATACTAAGGATACCTTTGGGATCTATATTTATGGGTACAACGATAAGATTATACGATAACAATTGTTCGTGTGGTACTAGTAGTGTGTGTACTTCACCATCACATGTTTATAAGAACAATTCACTATCATTACCATGGTCTGTGCCTGGTTTCTTCACTCGATGTTTTGTGATAGAATCTTTGTGCCAGTCTAATCTCAGATGTTTCTATCATCAGACCTGTTTGATCGATTTGATATCGAATGTAGTTACATGCTGAAAGCAAAAAACGGTGCTATTTACATATTGGCAAAATTCTTTGCTTTGATTGGAGGACTCATAACAGCTTTGAAAGTTGTCATTCCACGACTAGTCGGGATCGTCGAAAAATATATTAAAAGGAGAAATATAATGCCATCTAAGACGATGTCTATGGTGAATTCAAACTACTGACTTTGCCGTTGATGATACGTATATTATGAGTGATGATGACAGTGACTAATTCGGATATTCCTATGCTTGCTTCTGGTAGTGTCTTGTAAGGGTAATATTTGGTATGTCTACTTTTTGTGGTTTTGTCTATGAATTTCGCTTTCCATGTTTGCTTTTGTCTTGATATCACAAGGTAACGCGACGTTAGCGTCGCCAACCCTCTACTGAAAGGATTTAGTCATGTGGAGCGTAGCTATCCAAAACTATCTATCTGAGAGACTTCACATTTTATACCTTCACAATGATTTTCATGGAAAACACGATTGGTAACCGAGTATAGATAGAAAACTGGCTTGGCAGTATCACCAAGAAAACGGCATTTAATTACTACTTAGTGACACTTTATGGCAATAGCGAATTTAAGTGCATCCGATTTGCTACAGCTCAAGCTATGCTCCCAAAAACTTTCGATCAGCTTGATAACGGAGTGAAGCAAAAGATCCATTCAGGGGAGCTATGATCGAAATATTCCATTTTAGTAAAGTTACAACTCAAACTGGCCTATGAACTAGATATTTAACATGAATCTGCGCGAGTAAATCATAGATCAAATCAAACTGACTTTTTCTAACTCGATTTCGGTTAGCTTTATCCTCATTTTTGTTCAAATCCATCTGGGTTCATTTTACTTCAGTGCGTTTCTGTCTAGAATGCATATATTCATTCCCGGGTGCACGTTCACAGATAGATAAATCTAAGATTTACATCTTTTGAATCAAATCCACTCGCAATCAGGAAAAACTAAACTTATTCAGATAATCACGACAAATATAAATTTCAAATATTTCACACGACTTGAGCAATTATTTCACGATCTGCCTTCGGAAAAACTTCAAGATATCTCCTACTTTCGAAAATTGTTTCAACTTTTCTGATGGAGACAACGTGTAACTATTCAATAATTCTGCAAGGCCTGTAGTCATATAATCACAACAGATTTTTAACTGAGCGGCTAGTCGTTTGTCGGCGCCCCATTGGGGCGCCACTCACGACTAGCCGCCTCCACTAGTTTCGTTGTATATATGCGGTGAACGTGATCCTTTTAAACGCTGCATGATTGATTGCCAGCTTCGCTTCATTATATAATTATTAGATGAAAACAAAGAGAATTTTCAGGAAACCCGAAAACAACTTTTATGGGACTAATCTAATTCAGTTTCATCTACATATGAAAAAAATACTCACAGTTTTGAGAAGAATAAGACAAGATTCCTGAGTATTTAGGCACTTTGCGAACGTTCGTAGGTGCTCTAATCTAGAATTCTACGTGTTAAGTTTGAATAAATTCTTCGTGCTACAATAAAAGTTGACTTATCAAGTATAAACTGAAGACTTCAAAAAAAGCCTTCAACGACTTAGTGTTTATACACAAAATACAGATATGTAGTTATGTTCAACTGTTTGTTGAAAAGGACCTTAGTGCGGCATTCTCCAAAACCATGTTTGTTTAAATAATAAAATTTTCGTACGCAATGAAATAAGGATATATCCAGATGAGCAGCTAGTCGCTCGTCAGGCGCCCCTCTGGGACGCCAATCACTAATAGCCGTTGTCAAATTAAGAATCAATTCCACCACAAGATGTCTATAACCGATTCGTAATAAAATCCAATATAAGCTTACGATATATATATATATATCACTATCCGCATCATCGAATGATACCCGTAAAAAATTTGCCGACAAAGAATTCCTATCACGAAAATACGATGATCTAAACAGCTCCTAATGCATTATAAACTTGCTTGAACTATGAAAGATTATTAAGCATTTAATATTCGATCCAGTGACAGCCCCTACCTTATTTGAATCAACTTTATTTATTTGTTCAGGATCATAACCACTAGTAACGTCGTTGTGGTACTCCTTAGCGCTTTCGAAATACCAGTCACTCGTCAGTTGCTGGTCACTTGTTTTTACTTTTTCAAAAAGCTCATGTATGCACTGTGTAAAATAGACCTCTGTGCAACCCTCTTTGTTTATCAGAACGATGACAGAATGCTTTTGAAAAACTACACTAAAAATCGAATGACTCCGCCTCAAAAACTTTCGGTCAAACTTTAAACGAAGTCATTTTTTTCCTTAAAAACTTTCTTTCTCTCCATAAAAAAAAGGTAGGAAGCGAAACTTCAAAAATCTGACCTTCGATTCGACTCCCTCGAGCCGACAGCATCTGATCAACCTTTACAAGGAAAACTATGTTCACGAAAAACTATTTTTTTCACTAAAAAAGTTGAGGATCATAAATTCTGAAAATCTGACACCATATTAGAGTTCCTCGACTACGATTACCTTAGGTCGACTCTTATAAAAAAACTATTTTTTTCTAAGAAAAATCTCTCTCTCTCCTAAAAAAAGGAAAAAGGAAAATTTCAAAAAACTAACAACGCCATCGTGTTCCCCGATCCGGATTACCTTCGGTCGGCTCTTATAAAAAACTATTTTTTTCTAAGAAAAATCTCTCTCTCTCCTAAAAAAAGGAAAAAGGAAAATTTCAAAAAACTAATAACGTCATCGTGTTCCCCGATCCGGATTACCTTCGGTCGGCTCTTAAAAAAAAACTATTTTTTTTCTAAAAAAGTCTCTCTCTCTCTCTCCTAAAAAAAGGGAAAAGGAGAATTTCAAAAAACTAACAACGCCATCGTGTTCCCCGATCCCGATTACCATCGGTCAACCCTATCCCTGCAGGAGATTGTTTGTGGTTAGTTAAGTTTATGCATCTGCTTTCCTATTGGACGAACGAACGAACTTACGAACAGACAAACGAACGCATTTAACTCGTTTTTCGTAATATCCTCCTTTCAGTAGAGGGAAAATTGATTGCCTTGCAATTATAGCATATTTTTATCGAATTATTATAATTGCGAGGATGTGTGCTTATACAGTGACTTCGCGGTTTCATGAATGAAATTTGTTTTTTGAAAAATGGACAGCATATAGCTATTGAATGGTCATCAGCATTTACAAAAAAGAATTGAGTGTGGATACATATGTTGATGATGATTAGGAGATGATAATTCCCTCAAACTGCAGATTAAGTCGACGATTAGCTAGATTAACATTGAATGTTTTCACTTGAAAGTATTTCATAGGAATTATGACATAAACAACCAAGTGGAACTACGTACCTAAAGAATACTCTTGAATTTCAACGATAGATCAAGAGTATTCATGATGAATATTAGAAAAGGTAAGTATTAAGCTGTTTCTTCTTGCAAAAATGATTCAGTTCTATTTCAATTCAAATTAGCACTTCTAAGAATCTTAGAAAAATTTTGATACTTAGTGAAGCATATCAAAGTACATATGACTCAAATAAACAATTATATTTATTCAAATCTTTCGATTTCTGATTAAACTATCATGCCTTATTTGGTGTCTATGCTACCTAAAAAGTTCTATTTGCTTTCACTTATAAATTGATTATATCATCACTTTAATTCAAACATATCATATAATTAATTTGTTATCTATTGAAATCTTCAATTCTATCTAAATAACATTTGTACAATTCAAAAACAAAATGAGATTTACAATTTAATTTACGATCGCATAGGTACTTTCGGCATTTTCCATGTCATTTGTCGTAAAATAGATTTTAATTGTGGACTTTTTAATTCAAAAATTGGTGCATATGACTGTTGATAAGTTCGGGTCCACCAATTTTTATCTCCACTACCTAAACTTGCAAATTTATAACGATATAAATCAGCTTTAATGAACCGAGGTGGTGCATCAGGAAATGGATTTCCTCCTACAGATAACACTACATTTACAGGCGAATATTGATCAGATGCAAGTAAATGTACCATTAAATGAATAAGCCAGGGGTTATATTGTAAATTTTGCATGGCTGCAAACCTTTAAACAAAATTAAAAAACAAAAACATGAATCATCTAGAAAAAAATACTAAATCCTACATACCATAATTGCCATGTTAATCTTCGATGATATGGTGCACTGAAACAAGGTGTTTTATCAATTTTTCCTGGTTTACAACTAAATTCATATTCAAGCCAAGCATTATCATGGCTACATTGTTCAACGGTTGATTTATTACAACCAGTGATAATAACTTCATTGCGAATTTTTCCAACACTACCAAATGCACCATACGTATTAACAAGATTAAATCGATCAAAACTAGAATTCATTCGTTGGTAACGAGAGAATAAATTTAATACAGGATCAATACTTAGAAAAATAATTAGACTAAATACGAATAATTTTATAATTGAATTTAGAACTTTGATTCGTCGTCGAATGCCACAATAAATTATTTCTGTATATGTTTGACATTTAAATATATATTTATACAATGGATATGTATCATCAAAACACCATAATGCTGGAGCAATAGTAACCCAATTTAAAACACTTAGATTTCCACTGATGATTAATAATATTTGAAAAAGTATTTGTAATGTTCCACCAATATGTCGAATCGAACGCCACGGACCAAAACATAAAAATGGAGCGATTAGTTCAATAAAATGATTTACAAGTACTTCAAATTTATGAAATGAAGCTGGTGTTTGATGGAGATAATATGATATTGCATTTGGTATCGGTTGAGTTTCATAATGATATTGCATACAAGTAACTAAATATTAAAGTTTAAATAAATCGACAGTCTTATGATTTCAAATTATTTTAAGAAAGCAATTGAATATCGACAGAGTCTGGAAACTAATATGTGTGAAATTTTAAACAGTCAGTTAGTCGGAACCGGTGAGGAGCTGTAAACCGATACTTGATATTAGAAAAAAAAATATTTAGCACTATGTAGATTAATATAATTTTTTTAAAATCTTTGGCGAATGGAAAAGAAACTTGTCTACTTACGATCTCTCCAACATTGATCACCACGAATTTTTATCAATCCAGCACCCAACATAATTCGAGCAATTAAAAAGCGCATTAAAAATATAAATAAAATACTTGGTGGGCTATGACGATCGATTTTTGATAAGCTATATAATGGAACCAGAAACATTCCTAAAAATGTTGTTTCAAGTATTTGCGTTTCCCAACCAAAACTAATAATTCAACATATTTTTTCATTTATATTCACTAGAAATTGCTTTTTTTACATACCCATAAAACAATTGTCCTATATTAAGTATACTTGTTTGAAAACACCAAAGTATAAATAGAATTATTGAATTGCATCGTCCAGTAAATAATAAAAATATACCAAGTAGAGTTCCTGCAGCACATATTGTACGTAATGATATGTCAGATGTATCCATCCAGGGTAAAAAATAAAACATTGATGGTGATTGCCATATGCCATAACGTTCTTTCATTTGTTTCATGTGAATATGTGATTGATATAGGCCTTGATAGCCGATGAGAACTGGTGCTTGATGATAAGCAGCAAGAAAACTGAACGTATAGACAAGACCAAGCAGACGTACGAATAGTATTCGTGTATGAAAATAAGTATTCGATGAAATTTGATCAAGAAATATTTTTTGAAAATACGATAAAATGTTATTTTTTTCCGTCGGTGTCACATCTTTTGAATTTTTTCTTTTTTCATTTGGCATTGATGTATTAATTAACGGTGTTGGATCATTTTCATTCAGTTTATTAGTTTGACTTTTACGACGAGTGAGCTCCATGAAAATTGAAATTTGTCCAGCAGCAATTATTAGGTGATTTTTCATTTCAAATCGAATTTTATTATCATTTGTTAACATATGAACCATTTATTTTATGACAAGAAACATGCATGTGTGTGAGGACGTTAGTTGTCAGAGACAATTTATTTTCGCTGATTGAAAATTAAAATCATCATAACATAGATACGTGACATGTCTATAATTTAATACGGTGGAGAATATCGATTTCTTATGGAACGCTGTCGGCCTATTGGAACGAAGCTGATTTCTATTCAGAGTGGTAACAAGCTATCGAGAATATGAAGTAGCAATTACAGAAAGGCATATAGAGAGTCATGTTTCAAAATTAAAAAAAGAATGGAAATTCGTCGATACTATTACATAGTATAGATTTGATTCCATAAATTGAAAACTACACAGTTTTTAATTGTTTCATCATCTTCCGTATTCTTTTTATGTAATCCACGATAATTGCAGTACTTAATTAAGTAGATTATGATTAAACAGTTCATCCATCAAGAATTAGCGAGCTATTGAATGTCATACGCTTGTTTCATAATTGTCCGTTTCTCGTTTAAAATATATTACATTCCATATTCAATTACCAATGGACTGTATGATCGAAAAAATCATCCTGGATAAATGTCAAAAGGAAAAACAATTTGTATTCACATCAAGGCATGGGTTGTAATGGATTTGTAGATATTCTTTGTGGACTTGATAATGAATATTTATTTGTTGATAAATATCCTGATCGAGATAAACAATTTGATGAACTTGGTATTGATTGACTAGATACTAATTCTTTTTCTTTTAAATTAGATAAACTAATTAATGAATTTGATGTTGTTGTTGGCTAAAAACAACCCAGGTCGAACGACACGGTCCGTTTACTGGAATCAGTTTTACGGCCATATCTCTATTGTAAAATAGCCGTAAGTAGCCGTATTTTCACAATGTACGGCTCATATTAGGCGTCTTTACTGAACACAGTAATACCGAATCGTTTACGGTGAAAATACGACTACGTACGGCTATTTTACAATAGAGATACGGTCCGTAAAACTGATTCCAGTAAACGGACCGTAACGGAGTTCCGTTTTGATCGACCTGGGAAAATTCTTATCATGCACAAGCAATAAAAAGAAAAACTTCATTCCCATTTCCGTTCTTCTCTATAAAAAGGATGAATTTTTTTTGTTTGCTTCAATTATCTCATCTTGATTGGTTTTTAAATATCGATTACTTAAATCATGTAATGATCGCTGGAGATTACTCAATTTCTCCTAGATTAATAAAAGAAATCAAATCTTATATTTTAATTATTTAAATATAAAATCAAACCTTAATATTCGGTGAATAATTTGATATATTCTCATCTATAGAGGACTAGACATACACAGGCGCATGGATTATTTTCATTCACCAAAAGAAAATCATTTTTATCTACCTGAGGAGGTTTATTTGTTGCTTCTAAATTCTCATTAAAGATTTCGATCGAAGAATAGATTTTTTTTCATCAATCGGACGGATTGATACAAGTCTAAACAAAAATGAATGAAAATAGTTTTTACTATCCATTTTAAAATCGAATTGTAATATTAATCATTATACTTTTTTTTTCAATAGATCTGAAGTTTCATGCTATTATAAAATAAATATTTAATATAATATTTTTATAGGTCGTTTTTCTTTTAATTCTTTTAATAAATCCAATGTTTCTCCATCACAAACATCGATAGGTGTTTGCCCCTAAATAATTCAAAATTTAATTTTCAAAAAACAAAATTCACCCATAATATTTTGCATATAAATCTGCATTTCTATTAATAAGATATTTAATAAAATCATGTTTATCTCAATGTGCAGCTGCATGTAATGGTTTCCAACCATACATCATTATCAAATGAATTTATATCTCCACCAACACGAATTAAAAGATTAAATATACAAATATGAAATCTTCAATATACTCATATATATACTAAAAAGCATTTCTTTTTCTCTAAAATAAGATATTCAATGAAATCTAGCACAAAGAATAATATTCATCATTCATAAGTGAATCTAAAGTCTCGTCTAGAATCTTGACCTGATTCAACAAATAATTAGATCAATTTATATCTAGAGAAAATTCTTCAGCAATATCATCTAATATTTCTTCAAGAAATTATCGATAAATTAATAGATAATTAAATAGTTCATTTTTTCTAAATTATTTTCAAAAACAATTGCTAGTATGAGATGATATGATCGATGAGTAAAGAATAAATACTCATTTGTCTTTATATTACTCTTTGATTTCTAATCAAAAATATTTCTTTCTAATTAAAATATACAAAGGTATATTGATAAACTTCAATAGGCTAGTAAATAAAATCTTCTTTATTGATTCAAAATAAAACCTATTCTGTTATTTCAGGTGTTTCTACTATTTGTTTACAAATATTTAGAAATACAGGCTCTAATACAGTCATTTCTAATTCACTAATTGATTGAAGTTCTGTATATTTCGTAATAAAATCTGATAATTTAAATTCTTTTGACTGTAAAGCATAAGTTCGAATCTTTTGTGTATAATGAGCCAAGTAATTTCTATCTTGTTTAATTCGTAAATAATCGATAAGAACACTTGGTGTTAATCCATATGTAGAAGCAATATTATCAATAATACGGCCAAGTGGATGTAATACAAGCCAATTTTCTTTACGATTAATAAGAAGTTTTAATCGACCAAGTTCACGTGGTGAATACAAATGCTGATCAATTGAATTTTTCTCCATTTCATCCATAATCTTATTTAATAATGGTTGCATTAAATCAGCAATAAAATTTGATTTTTTTATAGCTAGTGAATCTGCTTCCATGTGAGCAAGACGTGCTTCAAGATTTTTAAGTGTTGTTTTCGTTTCATGAAATTCTTTTTCAATACTCTTGTTTGCATTAATTAATCGTGAAAATAATTTAATAACTGTTTGTCGTAATTCAGATAATGCTGAGCTAATCATTTGGTAGCCTTCAGGTTCAACATGTTCGTTCTCCATAGCAGTTGTAATTGTAGATTCAAGTACATTGAATGTATTATTGATGTTTGAATACGTTTCAACGTCCATCAATAATATATTAGTATTAATAATATCCTTCATTTCATTTATACATTTGTCCCAATGAGATTGTTGTTTTTCATATGACCAATGTTCATCTAATGATTCAATATATTTTTGTAAAATACATAAAACATTTTTTGTTGTAATATCTGATGTTACACACTTTTCCGATAACAATTTATTGAGACAATTTGCCAAATATTGAATAGACGAAAATGAAGACATAACACTTGATACTTGATTAAAAAATTTTAGAACTTCTATATCTAAGAAAAAAAAAGAATGTATACTAGTAGACGTTAGTTTTATCGATCATATAACAATAATTCATATATATATATCAGTAAATAAATAAATGAACGGAAGGTTTTATTCGTTGAAGAAACGAGCAATAAATGTACGGTTATCATATCGTTGAGTGATGTTTACATGACAGATGGCTAGTTATAGATGACGCTAATATGTGATGTACAATTGCTGACAATAAAAGAATATTTACAATAACAATAACTGGTAAAACATGTTGTTTAATATGTGAAAAAGATCGAGGAACAGAAAAAATGTGAAAGATATGTTTAAAAGATTTTTATTCAAACCATTTAATTGAACATTGATTACAATTAAATAAACAAGGAAATTCTTATTCATATAGATATTTTGCAACAAACAACTAACTAAGAGAATTATCCATTAATTATAGAAATTAATCAATGAGAAAATGATTGAATTAATAAAATTAAACAAATTTATTTGAACATATTAATGAAAATAACAAAAAAAAAGTTGAAGAGAAATTAAATATATTAACTAATCAATTGAAATAAAATCAACAAGAAGATGATATTACTGAAGTTAATTTAATTAAATTGAAAGAGTAACTTGAAAATATTAAACAACAATTAAAGTAGGCTACCAAATATTCTTATTTATTTTTATTAATTATCAAAAATAAAAATAGAAAAAAATATTGTTTTTATTTTATGAATTAGAATTTCATTCTATTATTTAAAGTATCTAAATAAAATAATGAAAGTATCATATAAATTAGTATATTATTACATAAGAATTTTATCATTTATCAAGGCTAAAATTATACTTTCCAAATAAATAAAGATCAAAATCAATTGTTAAATAATCAATGAAGAAATTATCAAGATTTGCTCAACAAACCAAACTTTTTCATTTTTTTCAATTCAAAACTAATTAATTTATTCGTTTTATACGGAAATCTTCGTTTTTTATAGAAATTATATCGATGGCAATGATAAATGGATATAAAATGAAATATAACAGTAGTTGGAGAAAATGGACAAGGAAATGAATTAAATCAACTTTCTTGTCCATAGAGTGTACATATGTTGATGATCATCAAACTATCTATGTGACTGATTACAACAATCATTATATTGTAGAATGAAAGAATAGTGAGACTAATGGGCAAATAGTAGCAGGTGGAGACGGACAAGGAAATTGACCTGATAACAGTGCAGAAAACTATCGAGAATATGAAGTAGCAATTACAGAAAGGCATATAGAGAGTCATGTTTCAAAATTAAAAAAAGGAATGGAAATTCCTCGATACTATTACATAGTATAGATTTAATTCCATAAATTGAAAACTACACAATTTTTAATTGTTTCATCATCTTCCGTATTCTTTTTATGTAATCCACGATAATTGCAGTACTTAATTAAGTAGATTATGATTAAACAGTTCATCCATCAAGAATTAGCGAGCTATCGAATGTCATAGGCTTGTTTCATAATTGTTCGTTTCTCGTTCAAAATATATTACATTAAATATTCAATTACCAAAGGATTATATGATCGAAAAAATCAATCTGGATAAATGTCAAAATGAAAAATAAAAGGATAAGAATTTTTTTAAAGACACTTATAATTTTTCTTTTATTTCTTCAAGAGAATAATGAAGCTACGAATAATAAAAAGAAGAAGAATAATGAAAAACTTGTCGTGAAAAAGCTAAGCACATATACAAAAGACAAATGATAGAATGAAAGGAAACAAAAAGATCTGTTCATGTTTTTCGCAGTTGCTGTATGACAGCATTTATGTTTGATATTGTTCTTTTATGGTTCGGCTATTTTATAATGTTTGCTCGGTGTTGATACTGTTGAAAATTTTTGCTTTATTGTTGTCATTAAACTGATTGGTACGTTTTCATTTTTCATTTGTTCTGGTTTATTTTTCAAACTACCCAAACGATGCATTGGCGGTTGTGAACCATTTCTAGGCCATTCACATCGTTGATATAAATCATCAAAAGTTAAACCTGGTGGACAACGCATTTCAAGTGCACATTGACTGTCACATTTATAACTAAAATTAAATAAACAAATTATGAATTCGTAAGAAAAATATTGTTTGTCTATGTAGAATACGTACAACCATCCTGGTCGACCAGGAATGCCTTTCATTTGCTTGAGAATATTAAGTCCAACTTCCACACATAGGGGAGCACCACGGCATGTGCCTTCTGGGGATCCTACAAAATAAATAGAATCTATCATCATAGATTTTAAGTCGAGAATTTCTGTAAGAGTATCATTTTTCAAGTTGTGTATCACAAACAATGAAATATATTCTGATTGTTTCTATATTAATACCTGCAGCGATTGGAGCGACTGGTTGTGCTTGTGGGAAATTAACAATCGGTGTTGTAGGAAAATATGGAATAGAAACAATTGGTGGTGCTGCTTGTTGATGTACAACTAAAAAAATAGTTCATGTGTAAAAATATAATTCGAATTCGATTTTACCATTGAGACCATTGAGGCCATTGAGGCCATTGAGACCATTGAGACCATTGAGACCATTGAGACCGTTAAGGTCAATTCCAACAATGCTATTTTGCCCATGAGAATTAATTATATTATATGGATTACATGCAACTTCAGATGGAAGTACGCATGTACATCGTTGTTGATCCCACCATAGACCAGCTAAACATTGCATCAGAATACCTATTTACACGCGAATAAAAATCGAAACATAAGTTTTCTCAAAACAAATCTTTTTATTCTGTTAATTTTACCTGTTGACATTCCATCATTTCCAACAAACGAATCACAAGCGTAATATTTCGAGCAATCTCTTGGATCCGGTGCAAATCCACTTGCAGCAAACGATGAACTACATCGAATAGTTGGTTGACTAACATACCATTCATTCGACGGTGCACATGGCTGATATCCTAATACAGACGAACTTGCACTTGAACCAACTAAAATTATTGGAGAAAAAAATTGTTTATCTTTTTACAAATTTAAAAGTTTTTTACTCATTGAAGGTTGTGGTGGAATGCTGTTAAGATTATTCGGCGAAGGTGCTGGGAAAAATGATTGAGTCATAATTCCAACTGGTTCCGGGGTAAAACTATTACTAAGTACAGTCATAGTTGGTACTTGGGCTGATGAACATGTTGCTTCAATAATTTCTTGTTGTAAAAGATTACCGATAGTTTGTCGATCACGCATAAGAACTGATTTATGAGCCGGACAAGCGTATGAACCTTGTAAATTACATGGCCAATCGCAGAAAACATTCTAAAAATTAAAAAAAAATTCACTATTTACATGATCTGCTCTTTTTTTTAGATAAAATTAATTTATATTTACATCAGGTCGGCCTGGTTCATTTTGATGACTCCACCATAATTGATATCGATTAGGCATGGATGCACAAACAAACGATGAGAGTTCACCCGTTTCATAACAATAATGAAAAACATCACAATAGTTAGGACTTGAAAAAAAGCCAGTTGTACCTAATGGACAGGCAAATGATGTTTGAAAATCTGAACCCAATGCAATATAGCCACTTTCAAGCATCGTACTTGTCAATGAAAATTGCTTACGTTTGCCAACACTAACTACTTTTGGTCGTAATGTCATTGCAAGTAAACTTATATTATATCGTGATGAATGACGTGCATGTGGACATGAACTACGACTTGTACACGAACGTCTGGATATATCAAAAGCACCTACAGTTCCACCGCTGACTGACGGGACACATTCGAATACTTTGGATTCGCCATGTCCTTTCGGGCACCAAGCAAACATATTACAATATTGTGCTGATGCGTCCGACACAGGGAAAAATCCTTGTTTACCACATGGTGAAACACTCGGAGGTTTAAACATAACAGGTAGAATTATAAATTCTTGATTGTAAAGTAATGTTGAACATGAAAATGTTGAAAATCTTGTACAACTCTTTGTATTTAAATCGAATGTTGATACACCATCATTGATACCATCGGTACCTGTTTGTCGGCATTGAAATGTTCGTCGAGTACGACCCGAACATGCATGAAATAAATTGCAAAACATTGAATCTGTATGAATACCGTCGGTTATACATTCATAACCGCTTGGATTAACACTTCTGACTTCAACAGCTTCATAATACGTTGTTACAGATGATTGTGCAGCTAAACGTGGACGTGTATATGAATAACGTCGTTCAAGTGGACAATTGTTATTGATTGTTAATGGTACACAATCTCGATCGAGTGCATCATATTGAGATTCAATGCAAAAATATGATCCAACAAGTTTTGTATTTGTACATTCATAGAAAACATTGCAATATTTTGGATCTGGCACACGAACTCGAACGCCTTGAATATTTAATGGACATGTATAATTTGATGGATTGGGTATGTCCGAATACATGATCATTTTTTGTGGTATTTGTATTGAATGTTCAATTTTTCTAGTCGCAGTCAATGAACAGCCAGGTCGCTGTTCATGATCTTGTTTTAATACTTGATCGGGATTTCCTAGTGTATTATTTTTTGATATCCATATTGGTTTTCTACATTGAATTTTGCATGGCCATTCGCATCGAAGCATATGATCTAAGCCACTGATAAATTGAGGATTGGTTGCATTATATATTACAGATTGATGTCTCCACCAAAGATCATAATTTGCCGATGATTGACTAGCGGATATTGGACAACGTTCAGCGATACGTTTACCGGATATGCAACGATAAAATATATTACACCATTCCGATTCATAATATCCATCGGGATGATTTACACAAGAAAATAATGATTTGATTTCCATTGTGTCATCAATTTTTTTTGTTTCATTCGATGTTTCAAGCATTGTATATGAACGAAATAGGACATCGGAATTCGGGCGGGATGTTGTTGCTTGATTGGGCCGATAGAATTCATTTGTTGCACACTCATTAGATGCAATACAATTTCCAGTCGATGATTGAAATACGCCACCATAATTATTTGTTAATCGATCAACACATGCATATAATATAAGTTCACCTTCTCGACAACCATAAAATAAATTACAATAACGTTCATGTGAAATAATATAATTATCAGCTTCACGACATTTCGGCACTGGTTCGACACGTTCTTGGATTGGTATTGAGCCAAAGTTAAATTGTTGTTTTTCTTCAGGCATAATAAATGGTTGAAACATGCCACTATTGCCACGACCTAATAAACGTTCATAACTAAAAACACCTTTTGATTTTGGGCATAATGTCGACAATGGTGATGAACATTGTCCATTGGGTTGATAGAAATATGATGTTGGCTGATTATCGACTCCGTTGGATATACAAGCATATAAATGATAGTTGCCTTGTTTACACGAATGAAACAAGTTACAATATTGTTCATGTTCAATTAAATACGATTGATCGTATTTGCATGGAAAAACTGGCAAGTCTGGAAAACGTGAATGATCTACTGATAATGTACGAAATCTTGTTTGACTTAAATTTAATATAGCATTTTGACAATTGGAATTTCGTCTTGAATCACAACGTTCAGCAAATGGATCGTAGATACCTTCTTCTTGTGTTAGCCGATCAAAACAATGGAATGTTGTCGGTGTGATTTGTGTGCCATCACAGAGATAGTAGATATTGCAAAATTGTCTTGATACATGTAATTGAAAGCCAGAATTGGTTGAACATTGTAATGAATCAGGATTGCGATCAATGGGAACTGAATCATATGGATAGATACCGCCTAAGCATGGCACTTGATCTTTTGCTATACATGCTCCTTGACTGCGATCAAAGAAACTATTGACGCACTCGTAGGTTTGTGTTGGCGATGAACCGATTGTTGCACATTCATAATAAATATTACAATAACGTCGACTAGGAAATTTACCAGTTTGAATACAAATAAAATTTGGATCTGGATTTTCAATTATTTTTGATGTTGAACCTTGTAATGGTTCCGATTCACGAGCATTCGACGAATAAACTATTGCATGGTGATTAAGTACAACATGGTTGGCTTGACCATTGGCTTGAGCACTGCCAACAGTATGATAGCCAGAACATTCATTACTGAATAGTAGAGAATTTTCAGTACGAATTTGTTGAGCACTTGTTGACGTACCATATACAGAACCGGAACATTGAATTCGACCTAAAATTAAATTGGAAATATAATCCTAAATTTTACCAATAGGATACATACATGGCCAATCGCATTGTTGAGTCTGTTGATTCCACCATAGATCATAAGGAGTATTCGTTGCGCGAGGGCAACGAAAATCTCGTCGAGTACCACTAACACAACGGTGAAATACATTGCAATATCGGCTACCAACAAAAACGCCATCCACTTGCGTCACACAACTAACATCAGAATCAACCGTGAGTGCTCCTAAGAGGAAAAATGTCAAATCAATGGTCACGTGATCATAGGAATACAGGAAATCTTCCACTATGTAGCTCAATTATATAAGAAAATTTCTTTTCTTCTTGTTATTTTACGTCAAAACAACTTATTGTGTAAATCCTTCTAGTCTACACACATTTCTACTGGATTAATGTCACTTGAATAAAGAGCTAATCTTTTCAAATCTACTATCAACAACACAATGCTTTTGTGTCTCGAAACGAAAAACACTCTCGTAATGTGTTACGGCCTTAGAATAAATATGTCTATTTTTACCATCAGTTGATGGAGATCCCAGGCCACCACCACCGGTTGATCCATCGGATGCACTTGTACAAAGTGATTGAGTGAAAACAGTTTCAGCTTCTTGTTGACTTTCAGTAACGGTTGAACCTGTCTCAGCAACAATACCACCTGGACTTGAACATCGCCGACCCGTTTCACACGGCCATGTACATGCAGCTGTTTCTTGTGCAATACTTTGTGGCGAGCCATGTTGTACCCACCATAAACGAGAACCACTAGGCATTTTAGGACATAGAAAAGATGTAGCTATGCCTGTAAAACATCGATAGAAAACATTACACCAACGACTTGCATAGAAACCATCTTGTTTGCCTATAGAATTTAGAAGAAAAAACAAGTAAGACTATTTTTTCCGTAGCTATAGTTTTCTTTTTTCTTACCTGAACAGCCAAATTGTTCACGAGATTGAACAAATATTTTCCATGGTTCAGTTGGTGCTTCTGAAATAAGTTTTAGCTTTCATATCATATTTAACAGGTAGACAACAATCGTGCTTACCTGTACTCAATTGTGAACCCGGAATACTTGGTATTGGTTCAATCATTGTGAAATATTGATTTGATGGGCAACCATTAGCATTTCGACTTGTAAATTCACATCTAAGATGATGAAAAAAAAAGAAGAAAATTATTATTTTGAATCAACAACTCGTTTTATTTTGTTACTTTTGTGATACATCATCGAAATAAAACTTTTCTCCTATTTGATTACAACCGTAGGAACGTTTTTGTTCACCAGCAAGACAAGCATGAAATACATCACAATAACGTGTATCACGCCAATGACCATCAATGCGCCCTTTACAATCGAATGTCACATCAAGAATCACTTTTTGATTTTGTACTGGCGGTGGTAGTAGAATAAAATTTGAATATTTTGATTGTAAACTTTTTCCTAATGAAATTTGTTTTTCAACTGTTTCGGAACCTTGTGAATTTATATTTTTGAAATTTTTCGCTGTACGTTTACCATGTTGTGTTAAGATTATACGATCTTCACAATTGACTAATTCTTCAATACGACATGAACCAACACTTGCTTGAATTGAAGAATCATAAACTGTTCCTTCGCGACACATGTAAACTGAACCATGACCAGATTGGCAATGATAAAAAATATTACAATAAGTTTTATCTGCAATTAATACATTGGATACATCAGATGGACATTCGGGATGAAGTTCAGTTCCGTAGACCATTATTGAAGATGAATTGGCCGCTGTACTATTTGAAAAGTCGGCTGGACGACGAAGTAAACCTTTACCTGTAATCATAAATAATTAATCGAGCACTGAATTTTCTTTTAATACAAAAAAAAGCGAAAATTCTACCTCCGCAAACAACATTAATTGGATAATCACAAATATTCGATTCAGGATTAAATAATAGTTGATTTTCACATATGTACTGTTCATCATTACCATTAGCGGTACATCTATGATAGGCATTACAATAAAGACTATCAGCATGTAAGCCTGGCTGAGAACATTTCTCAATCATAAGCGTATTCCTCGGTAGAAGATAATTAATACCATCAGTACTATCGGTTGTCATCGCTGTTGAACCTTCGATTGTACGATAAAAAACTTTACCTCTACAATCATCCGGTTCCAGATGAGCACAATACATATTTCCTGATGCGCCAGTTTTAAATACCGAAGGAAATGGACACATAAATGGTTGATCAACTACTCGATCGTTTCGAGTAATACAAACATGAAACATATTACAAATATTTGGATCACTAAATTAGAAGAAAAACAATTTGATTTATTCATTTTAATAATCAATGTTACAAGTTTCGCACCTAAATTTGCCCGGTAGATCTTCGTCACATTCAAAATCATTACTTGTTGTTGATGGATGAAGAGAATCTGATACCATAATAGCAACGTCATCATTACTATTAGCGCTATTACTACTATGAGTTTGTACCCATTGAACATAAGTTGTTCCACAGCTTTCTTCTTCAATATCTATATATGACGACAAAAAAAATTGTATTAAAACTGAGAAATTATAACTATCATATACAAACCTAAACAGGTTTGTTTAACTTTTGAATAAACTTTAGCCATGGGACAGACTTGAGATTCAACTCCATGACATTCAGTTGTAGTACAATTGCATTTATGATAAACATTACAAAATCTTTCATCTGGATAATAACTTATTGTAGGTAAATCTGTTGATCCATGTTCTGGACAAAGTTTAAATGCTGCCGCTTCATCTGGCAAATATATTGTTATTGCAGATAAAATGCTCAGAAAACCTGTTAAATATTATAGAGAGAGAGAGAAACTTATAGGCATGCGTATAGATATAATAACTTACTAATGATGATGGATTTCTCCTTCATAATATACATATACATATATATATATATATATATATGTTCTATGTGAAAGTATGTGTGATTGAAAACAGACCGAAAGCGAAAGTGAATGACAGCGAATTCGACTGGCGTTCACTTCACAAGTTGATAAATTTTTAATAGTCAAAGAGCTCTATCTGCTGTTTCTCTTCTCTCTATTTTTTTCACTTTTTCTCTCTCTTCTCTTCTCTCTTCTCTTCTCTCTCTCTGTCTGGATCTTTATTTCTCCCACTCACTGCTGAATCGAATAATTTCCATTGGTAAAGTCATCCTTTCTAATTCACTCTTAAATACAATCCAACCAGTTCGCTCCGTTTCTCTCTCTGTCTCTTTTTAAATTAACAAAATAGACAGGATTAAAGAAAAATAAGAGAATAAAGACATTAACTGGAGAAACAAGCAGAATTTCATGTTCTGAGTCATATCTTTCTTTCTCTCTTGTTTCGTTTATTCCTTAAGACGATCGCTGCTGACCTTCCGTGCGATTTCTATGTATGCGTTGTCGCATAGATTGCGTACGTGACGCGTCATCGAGCAATTATACACGAACATCACGCTTTCTTTCTTTTTTCGCACTCGATCATCTCCAATTACATCACGTTCATCTTTGTTGTAGTGCGGCGGCGGCGCCGTTTTAATCTGACATTTCATGTCCGTCGCTTTTTGTTCTTCTTTATTTTTATCGATCAACATGTTCATAACACACATACTTTTCGTGTTCAGTGTTATTATTACAATAGTTGAGTTCGTGATGTAAATATTGGCGAACCCAATCTTAGTCAGACACCTACATACACGTATTTACTAGACTTGTGTGGCAATAATCATTTCGATGTCTCACTTGTGTCGTTTTCTCATCAACATATTATATTTGTTTTATACGTATGTGAGAAGGATAAATACTCTGATGAACTATCCATTTTATATCGAAGTCAATCATACGATGTGTATTCGACATAAACAAAAACCGACCTACCCTTGCATACACATATTAGTTTTCATTAAGGCTTATGAATATGATTTTATCGAAATAGAATAAATAATAGTAATAGGAGAAAATGGCAGAAGTTCAAACCTCTGTTCGAGGTTATTTTAATAGGAATAATGATAAATACGAATCGAACTTTCAATGACATTCCTATGAGTATTTGTCAATGTCATGTTTAAAATGAATCAAATAACAACTTACTTAAGTGAAGAAATATGTGATAAGAAAAATTCTTCATTAGTTATTTTTCTTTGATTCAACCAGGCTTGATCTATGGCATCTAGTTCCTAGTGGTAGGAATGTATACTTTTAACAATAGACAGTCGAGAAAAAAAACAACTCGCTGATTTGTTTCTCCACCTACTTATCCTTTTTTTTTGTTTTTAAATCCTGTCTCTTCTGATACATGCTATTTAGAAGATAGTTGATCCTTACGCCTCTACTCCTTTTGTTCAATTCGGTTTTTCGTTCTTTCTATCGTACGTATCATTCATCACAGTCCGCATAATCATCATTATTATTTTGGTGCTTATGTTTCGATGATTGAATCCGGCGCTTCTCTATCTGATGCAACTGCATTGATTAAACGGCGATATTTGTATAAGATCAAGTTTTTATATATATGTAACAATGAAGAAATGTAAGCAGCTCAGTGGATGAATCTACATATATCCTTTAAAGTCAATTTTTTTTGTTTTCATTCAGAACGTGTAAGCTCTTCATCATCTCCCAAAAGAATGATACTTGGACCATACTTAATCTGTTTCAAACAAAATAGTCTACCACTTTTTGACATATACATGCATAATGGATCATGCACATATTTATCTGTTAGTTTTTAGATTAAAATATCTCTATTCTTCTTATAGTCTTTCGGTAAAACTAGAAGGGAACAAACATAATATTCAAATCGATTAATACATGTAAATCATGTCCTGATTGAATAACAAACAATAAGTAGATGAAATATTATCTCCTGGTTGTTTAATGTGTGTTTATGAGGCATAATCTAATAAATAAAATTGATGTAATTTTGAAATAAAATACGATTTTGTCTCTAGTAAATTAATTGAGATTGAGTGAACAAAACAAAACAAAAAAGAAGCTGCTTCACTAATATATCCATTTCACATGATGCAATATTTTAATCGCTAAACATAATTTCTTTGTTGATGGAGGATAAACAAGAGAGCTCGATTTTATCATAGAACATGAGCTTGATTTTTGTTTTTGTTCATTTGAAAAGAAAATGTCCTAAGTCTGTCTGATAGCATGTTGTTTTCTTTTTTCGAAGCCAGAAATGTTCGTAGAGATTGACATTTAACAGTAGGAAATTCAATTATTGACACATGTGTCTATGCGATGTAAAGACAAGTTTTATCATTTTTCTAGTCCGACGATTGATCGATTCAACATGTTCATCAATTCAATATTTACTTCCTAAACGCGAGACAAAATGCGGAAGGAAGCTTTATTATGTGTTCGTATTGACTTGGCATTTTTTCCTGTATCGCATATCAAGCAGGAACATGTCATTTTTATCAAATAATATTCTACCTTTATATTTACTAATTTGTCGATTGATTACGTGAATACGATGGTTAAAAAAAGAGATCCCTTTTTGATATATGAAACTCATTGAAATAGATTGTTCAATAATTTGCCCTTCAAATTTTGAAAAAAAAACGTCTCATGGTGTATAATACTTGTTTGAATTATGTTTATGGCTGTTATTCGAGACGGGAGACGATATGTCGATTATCATTAAACATGGCTAAAGAAATTTGAGACGATATCGTGAGGGTGTAAGGTCGTGATGATTGACTTTAATAATTTGGAAGGTTATTAACGTTATTATCAATTCGCCATACGTCTACAACTTTGTTTAAAAAAAAAAATTCTCGGCATTGATTAAATTTTCTTTATTGACAGAGAACGGAACAAAACAATGCTCTAACGATTGTAGTATGTATATGATAAATACCTAGGATCAACATATCGAGTAGACGAACGCTCTGATTCAGTTATAATTTGCCGTTGCATTGCTGATTTCTTGATATGAGCTCCATGTTGAGCTGTAATATAAGTTGTTGGATATTGATATAGTTCTTCTTCCTCTTCTGCTGTTTGATATTGCGTTTCTTCGTGATAATAATTCGATAATCGAGGAAATGTAGGTGCCTGTAAAACAGGTAAACGCCGTGGAACATTATTCCTCATTGCAGATGAAGGTTGACGAGCCATTTGATTGCCAGGAATAATGTGACAATTTGGTGATGAAGACTGAACTAAGTTCCTTCTATGTGCAATAACAAAATAAGGCATATAACCGAGAGTAGGTAACTATCAATAAATAAGCAATGCTTCTACATCATTCTTTCGCCTGTTTTTATTCTAATGTGTTGATTGCATCAGAATGATTCAGCAAGGTCGACGACAAGCACACGTTTTGTGTTAGAAAACACAGCCATGCGTGACGAAAATATCAAGTTTTATTCGTTTAATTTGCATAAATATGACAGATTTTTTTTCTTATAGAACAGAGATAACCATCTCTGCATGTCTGAAAGCATTTTTTGTTCGATTTCAAAATATAAACAGAACTAATTGGCAAAGAAATTTTATCAACGTGCATAGCTTGAGCAAAATGTTGTAAATAAACCTATAAAAACGATTATTCAAATATTTTCTATAACTAGATTTGAATTAATGTTTTTACAATTGATTCGTTCTCGTTAGGTTTTCATTACATTTATTGACAAAGAATCGATGTAGACACACAACAGGAAAAGAATGTGACCATGCGTTTAGTAATTTTACCAAGCGACCAAAACGCTTGAAAATGGCGTTTGAATTAACATTTAGCACAAGATTATCAAAAGCTTCTCACTTGATGATTGTATTTGTCTGCATGCTATAAGCCGACTAGTAAAGAGGATGAGCATGAAATAGAAAATTTTCAATCTCACTGCGACAACAGGATATGAAAATGTTAGACACTTTCAGTGCTTTTGGGATAGATGTATTACTCATATCTCATCGTCATGGTGTTAGACACTTCAATTATTTCGTAAGATAAATCAGTTGATATTTTTATTTTTAAACTGAACATGGTCTTTTCTAATACTGGTTCTATGTCTTTCAAAGAGATGAGACCATACTTCCGTTTTTGTTTCAAATAATATTCAATCGATTTTGATATTTCTTCCCGCATCAGCAACGAATTAGATGCCTTTCGATTGTTTAACTGATCTGAAGTAAATCTGCAAGGATGTCCATCATAGGAAGGGGGGGGGGGGGGTTGT